CAATTAAAATTGCAGCGAGCACACATGCCACTTTGGCTTTTCCACCGTCACGCGCGCGAATACACAGAACCGCCCATTTTCCAACCGCTCCTGAAATTATCAGCGCGGTCGGAACGAGGCCCATTGATTACACCACTGATAATTGCCATTACATTCTCCGATCAGTTCGATCTCTTTCGCTCGTCTCGCGTATGTAATAACCCCATCGCGGTTCTTGATATCCACGATGTGGAATTTAAAACTAGAATTTAAAATCAGGATGTAGTTTACACGAAAAAAAAAAAAAAAAAATTTAATACGTTTAATTTATTTGTCGATATACGCGTGTAAATATCTTATATAATTCTTAATACACTTGTATATTTATACGAGACATTTACCTTAAAGGCAAATGCATGCATGTAACCAGCGTAGGCAAATTAGATTCGATATTTGCAGAAGCGGACTGTGTTACACGTGTACGACGTACGACATTGCACGCAAAACTAGACTCCCTGTTTGCAGAAACAGACGGCTACTTCGATCTCCGAAACGCCGTTGTATCTATAACTACCGGCTCTCTACCGCGCGTACTCTAGGATTACATTTTGCCTGCGAGCGATACTTCTCTGAGATACACCCGCGCGTGTGTATAACTTCTGATTAGTATCGCGCACGGTATCGATCTTGGTGTTACTCGCTGAAGTAGGTAATCTATGCATCGCGCAAAATAAATCGTTTGCTTTTGCAAACTTCTGTTAAAGGTAAAAATGGAAGGAGTAAGAAAGCGCATAATATTACCGTATCGAAGTATTCTATTATTTAAGTTCAACTGATATTTAGTCGATAGAAAGGAATTTCATGTATAACTATTTTAATATATAATTTGACAGAATACACATACATATATGAAAGTATGTTTTAATATTCTATTTTCCCGAGAGTTTCCGTGATAAGTCAAGTATATCACATGCCAAAATACATAAATGATATGCGACATATAAAAGACGTGACAACTTTCGCATCTCGGAGACGCTATTCTAAGCCGTGCTATTAATAAATCTAATATCTGATTAAATTATGTGATCAAATGAGATGCGCGTGCTTTGCTCGCGATAAACTAGAACGAGATGAAATTCAGTTTCCTTTCGGAGCTCCATCGGGCTTTCGCCTGTCGTTGAATCAATTCACCGTGATGCGATGTACTCCGATAAACTTTATTTCTTCACAATATGTCGCGATCGTTAATTGCTTAATTTTGGATTTTACTCGTCGGTCCTGATTTTACTCGGCTGATTAAACTCGATAACGAAATCTACGACGAATAAATTTCGTGTATGTACGTGTCTCTCCCGTAACGAAAATCGATTTTGCAAATTGGCGAATAATTCCGCCGAATCTCTCAACCTTTCCCATCTTTTTGTATCGCAAAATTTGTGTAATGCAAAAAAAATATGTTAGAATCTGAAATAATAGAGACGCCTCAAAAATATCAAATATCGATTTTTATTATTTATTTCTTTTACGATAAAGCAAAGTAGATTGTGAGTTTCTGATTTATTCATCGAATATCTATGTGTGTTGAATCAAGTTGTAGATTTGGTAAATAATTCTTTTCATCAATATATAAAGGGATTGTCGAGTGATATGAATCGATTACGGAGAGAGATGAGAGAACAGAGAGGAAATATACCACGCATGTATCATTTTTGATCGCACAAAAGTGCGGCGAAATATCGCCCTCGGAGCCTCGTAGAAATTAAGCTTCCAAAGGAGGGGGTGTCATTGCCCGTCGTAGATTGCTCCGGATGATGCACGATACGCTATGAGCCTCATTTAATTTGCTGTCGTATACGCAGTTTTTACGAGGTAAATTGCGCGAAATTATCGACGACACCGCTAAACGTTATGCGAATATCACCATGCTCGTCGGCCAAATGTGACGTTTAATTATTATTACGTGTCATTACAATTGCATTACGCGTGACTTGGAAGTAGGGCTGACGTCGTTCCTCTTTCTTATCCGTAATCAATTAAACCTAAAGAGAATAATAAAATAAATTTTAATATTAACAATCTTGTCATTTTTATAGTAATTCAATTCTTTGAGTCAAAAAAATTTAACAAAGCCATGTCAGGTAAAATTTAAATAATCACATGAAACGTGGATTTGTATCGCGCTCTATTAATATTTATCTCTGATATATTGCATAAATAGGATAATTTATCGGTCGCTTTTTGTACAGATATTACGAAATGTAATTACGCACGAGAGAAGTTTGTAAGAATATATATATAGATATATACTCGATATTTCGCGCGGTACGTGCAATTGCGATTTTACAAATTACGAGCGAGCGCGATACCAAAGGAAAGGACGTACTTGAAGAAAATGGATTGGAAATGAATAGCAACATCGAGAAAAGCAATTCGCACGCTCTTGCGCATCGACTTTGATGCGGATTTAATTAATCTACGCCCGGAGCTTAGTCCGTGCGCGCGCAGCATCAAACGAGCTTAACACAGAAGCTTTCGCGAGACGTTTTCCATGCGAAAATCCTACAGTGATATCTTCTTAACGTTCCCTTACCGTTCCCAGGGACTGTCTGAAAAAGCAGAGAAAAAAAAAGGAAAAAAATCGAAAAGTGGTGTAGAGGACCGGGAAATCGGAGCGAAATGCCACGGCGTCGAAAATAAAAGAACGCGAAGGAAGCACTCGCCAAAATAGAGAGAGAGAGAGAGAGAGAGAGAGAGAGAAGCGCCGGTCACGTCGATTGATTGGCACGCTGACGTGCGTGGCCACGATGGATGACGCTTTATTTTCCACGATACACCTCGATTATGGATTGAAAAGCGGCCATAAATCCTCGTGAATACTTTACAGGTACGTTCCGGCAGGTGGAACGGAGGTTGAAACGAGACGGGAAAGGGGGGAGAAAATTTCATCGCGGCATCACACGAGGG